CCAAGTGTAATTGAAAAGTTTGGAAAAGAAAAATCTTCGACTAGTGATTTGTGATTCGAGGACAAGATGGACCAGTACTATTAATATGTTTGAAAGATTTTTGGAGGTGCAAACAGAAATAAAAATAGCTCTGATTGGTATAAATATTGATTTCTCTAACTAAAAATGAGCTTGATGTCATAAATGAACTTTGTGTTGCTCAAAACCACTAAACTTCATTAATACTCTTTCAAAAAGAGATGCTGTTAAACAGATATTTGAATAATTGAAAGAAGAAACAACTAATTCAATTCATGAAATATTTTTCAAATATGAATATTTTAAATAAAGATGACCAATTAACAACAAGATTAAAAACAAGAAGATTACTAATCTTGCTACTAATCTTATTCAGCAATTATTTCAGCCATCTGACGATAGCTCTGATAATGACAAAGAAGTTAATATTGAACAATTAGACACTGAAATAAAACTTGACCATCAGGAACAAACCTTTGGAAATTTAACAAACATTGGAACAAACCTTGTTCAAAAAGTAATGGTTGTTTTTGAAGCTAGCAAAGCTAGGCCCAAGTATTTAGATTTACTTTTCAAAGCTCTTTAAATAATTCCTCCTATATCCGTAGAAGCTGAGAGAGCTTTTTCTTGTCTTAGACTTTTTGTTACTAAAAAAGGAAGTTCTTTAAATAACGAAATCTTAGACACAAACTTTTTTAAAGCTAACAATGAAGAATACTAATTGATATTATTTACTTTTGTCCTAATTAATGATGATAAACAAATAAATACTTTTACGTATAATTTGTTTTGATTTTGTGTTTTAACATAAATAAAATAAAGTTCGAAATAGTTCAAACTTTTTCCGCAATAGTTTGAAAATGTTCAGGTTTGAACTTTTTTAAAAAAGTTCTAACTGGAAACCCTAGTGCTTAAGTGCATTTTTGCTTAGTAACCAAAAAGTACTTTTAAATCATACCATAACTTGGTTTTAAAGTCGTAAGGGTTGAAAAAAATGTGTTTAGACATTTATATACAGTTCTGTTGTGAAGCAATTAAAATCTTATTGTTTAAACTATAATTGAGAACTTTAAATATGTTATATTGCATAATTTACATGGTTTTTAATATTTTTTTTTTTTTTTCTTACATCATTGATTGTTTTATTTTATTTTTTGTTTTTTAAATTTGAATTATTCCATTGCAACAGGAAGATTTAACTTAAACTTATTCATAATTTAAAGTATTTAAAAGTAATCCTAAAATATATTTTTAAAAAAGCATGGAAAAATAGTTTCAAATGTTTAAATTTATCATAAAAAATACATGCCTACTAAAAAAAACTACATATATACACAAAATGCCCTTATTTAAAACAATCATTATAATTAATTTATTTATTTATTCAAAGCCTTCTTGTAAAATAAAAACATTAGAAAAGAACAGTTCATTGTTATTCATAACTTAAATTTTTTTATTGCATTTAAATTGTTAAAACATTAAAACAGCTGTAGTCAAATTGTAAAAAAAATTATTATTTGTGTGGTCAGTTACAGAGTGCGATAGCACGCCACTCCTGTCCAAGCCTGATTAACCCTGATAAAGTTGTCTTGCTCAGAAGTGGATTAAAGTAAACGTTAGGGCCATCACACTATGTGGAGATAACTTTTGAAAAAAGTCTTAAATGACTTAAATGCTGCAACTTTTGTTAAAGAGTCAGCAGGTACCCCAACAAATATTTTTTATTTTTAAATCCAGTGTCAATTTAATATATAAAATAAACCTAATTTTTTTAATTACTCACAGTTCACTTTTAGTTAAACTGTGAGTAATTTAAAAAATATTTTTCAATCCACTTTAATATATATATATATATATAAATATATATATATATATATATATATAAATATATATATATATATATATATATATATATATATATATATATATATATATATATATATATATATATATATATATATATATATATATACATGTATATATATATATAAAAAAAAGAACAGAGTTATAGAGCAAGGAAACGGTTGACAGAAGACTTGAAAAGTTGAAAGTTGCATGAGTCAGGAAAACATGAAGATGGGAGAGAGTTCCAAAGGATTGAAGTGCGGGGAAAAAAACTAGATGAATAAAAGTTTTTAGAGCATGCAGGGACAGATACAGTAAACGAATGAGACTTAGCTGAATGACGAGTAAAACGAGAATGAATTTTAGTTGATGGAACTAGAGATGATAACTCCTTTGAGCAGTGACCATGATAGTATTTGTAGAAAAGAGAAAGAGATGCAACTTTACAACGATGGGAAAGAGGTTCAAGCTTAGCAGATAGTCCAGGACCAACAACATTTACAATGCGTTTTTGGACCTTGTCAAGAAGAGAAAGTGAATTGTTAGAAAAACCAACCCAAATATGACAACAGTATTCCATACAGGGACGAATAAGAGATTTGTAGAGGTAGAGAATGGAATCAGAAGTAAGGAAATGGCGAGCACGATAAAGAGAAGCAACCTTAGCAGAAGCTAATTTAGCAATCGATTGTATATATGGTTTCCATGAAAGGTCAGTAGTAAGCGATAATCCAAGAAGACGTAAAGAGGAGGACTCAGTAAGAGGATTGCCATTCATTAATATAGGAATGTTGACCATATTATGGTAGTTGTTTGCAGTAAACAACTGGGTTTTGTTAGAGTTGAAATTCACAAGCTACTGTGAACCCCAATCTATTACTGAAGTGAGATTGGATTCAAGATCAGCTGCTTGTTCTAGACAATCGAAAAGAGAGGACTTTTTGTCAAGACAGGAGTATAAAGTTGAGTCATCAGCAAAAAGAGCTACTTTAGATGAAAGGTTGTCAGGAAGATCATTTATGTAGATAAGAAACAAAACAGGGCCCAGGATGGAACCTTGGGGAACCCCAGAAGTTACTGGAAATAAAGAAGAGTGTTGGCCTTCAAGGATGACTTTAATAAACCGGTTAGAAAGAAATGATTTAATAATCTCAAGAACTTTCCCAGAAACACCATATGAAGCAAGCTTATGGAGAAGATCAGCATGCCAAACTTTGTCGAAAGCTTTAGATATGTCGAGAGCAATAGCCCTAGCCTCACCGCCTCCATCTAATGCACGATAAATTCTTTCAGTTACAGCAGTTAGCAAGTCGGCCGTAGAGCGAGGGTCGAAAACCATATTGATTGTCTGACAGTAGTTTATTTGACTCAAGATGAGATGTGAGGAATTTGTTGATCAAAGACTCAAAGACCTTGCTAATAACAGAAAGAAGACTGATCGGACGATAATTGGAGGGATCAGAATTTTCTCCAGAGTTTTTAAATATTGGAACCACAGATGCCATTTTCCAACAAGCAGGAAAACAAGACTCAGTCAAACACTTGTTAAATAGTTTAGAGAGAATTGAAGAAAGTTCTGGAGAACAATTCTGCAAGACTGTGACAGGAATGTTGTCTGGACCACAAGCTGTAGACGAGTTTAATTGAGATATGACTTTAGCTACAGATGCCGGAGTGATTTGAATGTCTAACAATGGGTCAACCTGTTTGACTGGAATGGAAGGAAGAGAATGTCCATAAGATTCAAGAGTGGAATTAGAAGAAAAGTTCTTTGCAAATAGTTCTGCCTTATCCTTGGGAGAGGCAATAAGATCAGTCGCATGAATGAGAGATGGAATGTTAGATCTACCTTTGTTAATAATGCTGTTGAAGATTTTCCAAAAGTCTTTAGAGCCTAACTTCTGCGATAAGATGCGAGATTTAGTGAACTGAGAATAATGGAGTTTAGCATCAGAAAGCACCTTTTTACATCGATTTCTTGCAATAATAAATAGCCGTTTGTTCTCAAGAGAGTTGTTCTTTTGAAAAAGATGAAAAAAATGATTACGATTGGATATAGCAGCCGCACAAGAAGGAGAAAACCATGGAGTAGTATATGTATATATATATATATATATATATATATATATATATATATATATATATATATATATATATATATATATATATATATATATATATATATATATATATATATATATATATACTCTCACCCACATAATTGCAAGACCTGCAATTTATAGGTCTTGCAAAAGTATACTTTTTTTGTTTATTATTTTTGCATAACAGTCACTGATTTTTTTTTTTTGGTGCTTGAGTTGTATTTTAACTATACAAATAGCGAACAACTTGTTCACTTTTATAAGCTATTTTATATTACAACCATTGTTTTGTGTTTAGCATAGCAAAATTTTAGAATTATAAATGTGAATTTAAATATTACATAATTATAATACAAAGTTATGTTAGAATTGGTAAAAAAAAAATTTTTTTCTTTTTAAACACTGATATGCAGAGCAGAGAGATTTTTTATGCTAAAATTCTTGGTGTGAAATAATGTACAATATAACTATAACATTAGTGACAATATGGTCAAGCTTGCAAAGTTTTTTTTAAAAGAAAATCATTATTGATGTAACTAAGATGAAAAATGCTAAATCATTTTAATAATAAACCAATAATAAACTGCAATGCTTTTTATTAAATAAAAAGATTTAAAAAAATAAAATTAAAAAGAGCGCCAGAGATGCAGCTTGCATGGTAGGCCATATTTGTTTAAGAGCTTTTCTCCACTCTTGCACTTATTTACTCCTGCCAAGGCTTATATATTCATTTATTTGTTTATTTTTATACAGTTCTAATATATTCTGTAGACTTTAATTTGAAACTTAACTATATTGCAAAAATTTTTGGTAAATTTTACCTATTTTTTTTTATAACTTTTTTTAAGAAAAAAAAAAATTTATTATCATGGAATTGTATTTATTATTATTTTATACCATTAATTTATGTTAAAATAAATTAACATTCAATTAACCAGAGGATAACTGATACTTTATACTTCAACTTAAAATGCAAGGATATTGGGGTGTTAAAAATTTTACAATTTTTCAAAAATTTAAAAATAAAAAACTTAC